ACTCCGGTTTATATTACATGTCAAGTCTATAAATAACTTAAATGTTAAAGTTTCATATCATAATGATTTTTAAAATTCTACTTTGCCTTTGACCTAAACTTCACAGTCTCATTAAACACACATGGTTTATTGATAACTTACCACATGCTGAGGGCTTCCTGGTGGCTCAGATGTTAAAGAATCTGCCTGCATGCAAGAGACCCGGATATGATCCCTGGGTTGGGAAGAGCTCCTGGAGAAGGGAATGGTTACCCACTCCAGTAATCTTGCCTGGAGAAACTAGGACAGAGGACACACACACCCACACACACACACACNCCCCCCACACACACACACACCTACCACTTGCTGGGCCCTATCAGGTGCCAGGAAACAAAGGAGAGGAGAGTAGGAGGTCCTTGACCCCAGAAGCTCATGGTTAGCAGAGGAAACTAACACCTATACATTACATACACTAACCATCATGCCAGTGTTTGTTAGTGTGGTAAACGTCACATTGCCAGTGTGTACAACATTCCAAAAAGTACAGGGGAGGAAGACATTATCGTAAAGAGAAAATGATGTTTTAGTCCCAGTGGAGGAGTGAGTGTTTGACAGGCAGAGGAAAGAAGAGGCAGTAGGGTTTGACATGAAGATCAACCAAAGCAGATGGGAAAATACATGGCATGCACGGGCAGTTTTCAAGTCCAGGGATGCGCTGTAACTCTAAACCCATGGGTGGGTGGATGCTTCAATATCTCGATACATTCTGCCAAGGATCTTTTTTTTTTTTTTTCCTGTGGATAATGTGAGTGGAGTTGAGACATTGTAAGCTGGAGAATGGACATGAAGTTGCCCTATAGAAGATCAATATGGTGGCAGTAGTGAGGGTCAGAGGGCTGGGGTAGAATACAGGGAGAGTAGTTCAATGGCTATTGTTCCAGGCCAGGTAAGACTGACTGAGAACCCACCCCAGGAGTGGAGGGTAGGAATGGAGAATGAAGACAGCTCAGCAGTCTCTTTTAGATTGGGGATGGTTGTCTTGAGAGTTATGTAATGTGGGGAGGGGGATGGGATGATTCTGAAGTTTCTGATTTCTAAGAAGGGGTTGAGGAGATTGCATGTTTGGGTGGAAAGAAAGGGCAGATATGAGTTCAGATACAACTTTCTTATTTGTTTGGATGCATTACTTAATTTCTAGCCCCATATATAAAATGGGGACAAAGAATCCTGCTTTTAAGCACTTTACTGGCTATTATAGACGGTGATGCTGTCCTTTGAGTGGACTTAAAACTACAAAAGGAGGGGCAGATATAGGGCAAAGATAGTGGGAATTTAGGAGTCTGAGATGGGAAGCATTTCTTACACGAACTTTGTATTATTCACTTTTTGTCATTATTTCATTTACTCCTCACAGCCAGTCTATTGGTGTGGGTAGTATTATTACCATCATTTTACACGAGAACATGTCAAGGTTTTGTTGTTGTTTAGTTGCTAAGTTGTGTCTGACTCTTTCTCCACCCCATGGACTGTAGCCTGCCAGGCTCCTCATGCATGGGATTCACCAGGCAAGAATACTGGAGTAGGTTGCCATGCCCTCCTCTAGGGTATCTTCCCAACCCAGGAATCGAACCTGAGTCTCCTGCTTTGGGAGACAGATTCCTTACCACTGAGTCACCTGTGAAGTCCTGCCGAGGCTTAGAGGGAGCAAACAACTTGACTAAGACCGCATAGAAGAGTTGGATCTTCAGTCTGAGCTGAAATTAAATTCTGATTCCAGAACCTGTGCCTGTGGTACCACACTCTGTAGCCTCCTAAATCTTTCCTCATTTGTACACACACAGAGGATGCATATAATCTAAATCAAAGCCTCTCCAAACCTACCTTACCCTGTATAATAATGGCTGATAGCTTCTATTATTCTATTTGTTTGTAAAAACAAAATTATTGAGTGGAGCCTATTAAGATGAATTTAAGAGCCTGTTAAGTTGAATTCACGGGTCTTTTCATGCATCATGACCCACAATTTGAAAAATACAGGGATAGAACTTGAAAAGAATAAAAGGGATTTCTGTGGCTTCTATCATCAGATGGCTTTGGGGTTCATTGTGTGTTATAGTACATACTCGTGTTGTGGTTTCATTTTTAAAAAACTTCCTTTCCATCTGTAATTATCCGGGGAAGATACTGCCTCTCCAGCAACTCTACTGGGTAAATCTCTGCCCTTGGTCTAGTTTCTGATTTCTAAGAAGGGGTTGAGGAGATTGCATGTTTGGGTGGAAAGAAAGGGCAGATATGAGTTCAGATACAACTTTCTTATTTGTTTGGATGCATTACTTAATTTCTAGCCCCATATATAAAATGGGGACAAAGAATCCTGCTTTTAAGCACTTTACTGGCTATTATAGACGGTGATGCTGTCCTTTGAGTGGACTTAAAACTACAAAAGGAGGGGCAGATATAGGGCAAAGATAGTGGGAATTTAGGAGTCTGAGATGGGAAGCATTTCTTACACGAACTTTGTATTATTCACTTTTTGTCATTATTTCATTTACTCCTCACAGCCAGTCTATTGGTGTGGGTAGTATTATTACCATCATTTTACACGAGAACATGTCAAGGTTTTGTTGTTTAGTTGCTAAGTTGTGTCTGACTCTTTCTCCACCCCATGGACTGTAGCCTGCCAGGCTCCTCATGCATGGGATTCACCAGGCAAGAATACTGGAGTAGGTTGCCATGCCCTCCTCTAGGGTATCTTCCCAACCCAGGAATCGAACCTGAGTCTCCTGCTTTGGGAGACAGATTCCTTACCACTGAGTCACCTGTGAAGTCCTGCCGAGGCTTAGAGGGAGCAAACAACTTGACTAAGACCGCATAGAAGAGTTGGATCTTCAGTCTGAGCTGAAATTAAATTCTGATTCCAGAACCTGTGCCTGTGGTACCACACTCTGTAGCCTCCTAAATCTTTCCTCATTTGTACACACACAGAGGATGCATATAATCTAAATCAAAGCCTCTCCAAACCTACCTTACCCTGTATAATAATGGCTGATAGCTTCTATTATTCTATTTGTTTGTAAAAACAAAATTATTGAGTGGAGCCTATTAAGATGAATTTAAGAGCCTGTTAAGTTGAATTCACGGGTCTTTTCATGCATCATGACCCACAATTTGAAAAATACAGGGATAGAACTTGAAAAGAATAAAAGGGATTTCTGTGGCTTCTATCATCAGATGGCTTTGGGGTTCATTGTGTGTTATAGTACATACTCGTGTTGTGGTTTCATTTTTAAAAAACTTCCTTTCCATCTGTAATTATCCGGGGAAGATACTGCCTCTCCAGCAACTCTACTGGGTAAATCTCTGCCCTTGGTCTCTTTCCAGGCCTAGAAGAGGGGAGTAGAAAGACTGTAGTCACAGGTGACCCGGGCAGTGGCAGCACTTGTGGTCCAAGTGTTCTTTCACTAACCTCTCCCTTCTATAAATTGCAACATTGAACTTGTCCTCCCATGGCTATTTGTGTTGGCCTCCCCACGTGTGACACCAGGACTTGTCTTTGCATGTTTGCAACTGCAGCATGGAACTCAATGCCTGGCATAGAGTGGTAACCCAACATGTGCCAAGAGACGAGGGAGGGGACATCAGCCAGGCTGGCCGACCTTCTCTTATTCACATGGCCTCCGTCTCTTGCAGACCAACAGCTAGAGAGTTGAAATCTGGCAACTTGGAAGAGTAATACTGACCTCCAGCTATTCTGTTGTCACTGGGTTAGGCCAGTCTGCTTTACCAGGAAAGGATTAGTCATAGATTTTGAGATTCTAATGCAAATCCACCACTATGCTCCCGAACACAAGCTAGAAAATTACATACCTGATTGAAAAACATAACTGTATTGATGTGATGTTGTGGAAATATATAAAACTTGGGGTGCATGGAAATTTACAAAGAGTCTTAATGTAGAATATAATAAATAAGAGCCTCTGCAGTGATTATTAGTAGAAAAAGAAAATAAACATATTACATCATATAATAATTGTATCCAAAGCATATTTGCACCTTAACCAGGAAAATAACAGGAAGAATTTGAGGGTAAAGGGGGCAATACATATATAAATGTGTACATATATGTAAATGTGTATATGTAAATAAGTGTATGGGTAAATGCATGTAGATAGTTATGTACATAAATAGAAACCAAGAATTAACATTTTAAAGTCTTGTGTTAGCAAAAAGTATGTCTTTTTGCTGCTTTAGTTCAGAATGAGTGTAGAATATTTGCTAAGAGAGTTTAGTGCATTTCTGAGACTTACTGAGTCAAGTCTGTGATTAAAAAGAAATGAAATTCTGCTTGAATGCTTAAATACTCTAAGATAAAAACAAAAAACAACTTTGTGACTTGGATACTGAAGTGGAGCACATATCACTGAAAGGCACAGGAACATCCACCTCCAAGCAAGAAAATAACAGGCTGAGTTTGCTACTTGAGAAGTTTCATATAGGAATGCATTTTTATTTAAAAAAATTGCTGAATCAGCACAGGAAAATGAGAATCTGTCCTATTTCTACTCCCTTGAGAGACTAGACTGTGTTCCTTGGTACCATGGTCTCAGGGGTGTGTTTCCCCTTGAGCCCAAACAATAGACCAAGTGACTTTCCGGTCCTGCCTAGCCCTGTAATTCCAGTTCATCCCCTGCCTTTCAGTGCCTTGTTCCAAACAGTAGCTAGGACTCCCTGTGCTCTTAAAGTATTGCCACTGTGAAAGTCATCACTGACTGGTATTTAAGAAGATTGTGAGTGTATTTTCTAAGAGTTGATGTCAAATCAGAATCACTTAATCCGTGTCTGTAGGTTCCTTAGTATAGTCTAACTTCCTAGTATGTCGACTTAGGAAATAGCTATTTCTGCAGGTCAGAAAGGTCTATGATTTCATGTGGTCTACCCAGAGCTGAAACTATATCAATGCTATCAAACACATATTTTGTGTTTTTCTTTCATGATTGTGCATTATTTTTCTTTTCCAGCCATTGGGAGCAGCAGCTTCAGCCCAAGACCAACTCACCAGTTCTCCCCACCACAGATTTATCCTTCCAAGTAAGATGTATTTTCTCTTAATCAATAAATAACTTTTCTGAGTAGTCTTTTACCTTATTTCAAGTCAGGTCTGGTGCCCACATGTTACATCTTAAGTGAAACTAAAGTGTGTTTCATAGAGACTTAAGTATACTTACGTAAATTTATTTGGAGCATCACCTAGGAGGGACACTGAAATATTTCAGTACTTTGTCTATGATAGTTGAAGGTTATACATGAAGAAACAATCTTTAACTAGAATTTGTGATTTGGTTGTTAATCAGTTACCTTGCATGTTTCCATCTAATGCATGGGCTTTCTATTTTCTGTCATTTCTGACAAATAGCAGACCATACCCACATATTCTTCCTACCCCTTCCTCACAAACTATGGCTGCATATGGGCAAACACAGTTTACTACAGGAATGCAACAAGCTACAGCCTACGCCACGTACCCACAGCCGGGACAGCCCTATGGAATCTCCTCCTATGGTGAGTAACACCTTTACTTTAGCAGTGGTGTTGCCTTGTGGGCACACCTGTACGTGTGAAAGTGCCACAGGAGTGGTATATAGAGATGGAGCCCTTGGTCACTTGAGAAAGGGTTATCACCTTTTGTGTCTGAATTCCTAATATGATTGTTTCTAATGAGCATTGTAAGAAGGGGTGGCTACTTATCTTGAGGTCAGAAGTGGCAGATAGATAGCATGGTTCGTATGCTCTCTTGCTCTTTGTTTTTTTCCCCCCATTTATATCTCAATTCTTAATTTGCCATTTGAACGCTTGGTTCAGGAATCCAAAGTATTCTGGTGCATATTTCTGATAAAACTTCTGTGAATGAAGTCTTTTGGGGGTGAAGATTCATTTCCTATTTATCAGGTGCTGAGCTATGATTAGCGAAGTACAAGCCACATTCAACAAACCCTGGCTCTAAACTTGATGGGAGTAATCGTCTCACATGTCAGAGCAGTCGTCTCACATGTCAGTGTTATCAACCACTAGGAAAAGTGATCTATATCGTGGCTTGGGCTGCACTTTAAAGAGCCCAATCAGGAAACATTGAAAGCTCACATCTTTATTTGTTCCCTCTCACCTGGGGATTATCTTTATCTTGGTGTAATTTAACTCAATTGTTAACAGGGTCAATACCTGTAAATTAAAAATAAAGCCAGCCAAACTTCAGAGTTTAATTCTTAAAAATCTTAAGATTCCAAAAATACCTTCTTTTCCATGGAATGGTAGCTGTAATCTTAAACAAATTGCAACATGTTGGAATATAAAACTATGAATTATTGGCATTTGATTACAAAATAAATAAAACCTAGTGATCTAGAAAAAAAAATACATGAAATTTTGGAAGCAATGACTGAAAGAAAAGACTAGTGGATTATTTTGTGATCAACCCTGATTTTTTAATTAGACCCAGTGAGAGAAGATAGGCAAATGTTTTCACAGTAAGAGCAGTGGGTCCGTGGGGAAGAAGGGGTCATGCCATTCTTCACTCGATCTGCGTGGAGTCAACCAGTCGGATGAGTTTGCCAGCTTCTAGCTAGAAGCCATGGAGATGGGTGTGGCTATGGGCATTTTCTACCTCTTCCTGCTTTTCTTTATCTGTTCTTACCACAAAGATTCCCATTCTGAGCCTCCAGTCTGAAAACAGAGCTGGCACAGGTGAAGACCGAAAGTACAACAGTGTAGCATCAGAGAGAGGAGAAAATCCCTATTATGACCCTATGAAAAGGAAGTGAGTTTCTGGAGCCATCAAACCACCTGTCTGGGGCAGCTGTTTTTCCAGGGACCATTTATAAGTGTGGCTTATTCATTGGCTTGGGATTGCCTTTGCAGGGAAAGTGACATTTTTTAAAATGCTAAGGTTGTGTTAAGACTGCGATGCAAGGCCATTATGAGGTTGTTTAGAGATACTTCAGAAATTAGAGTAAGCTCTTTCAGCCAAGAGTCAGATTCTTCCACTGCCTTAGGAAAGTTACCTAAATTCATTCTACTGATGAAATTCCCCTAAATGGAAATAAACAGTGAGACTACTGTGTATTCTAGATCCCAAAGATATTATTTATCTTAAGTGCAAAGTAAAATTATTCCAAAATGTGAATTCCCTTGGCAGACATTTTCCTCCCCTCCCTCTGTGGGAATTAAAGACAGTTGTTAACTTTCATGACTGTCTTTAATTATGATCCAAGGCTGAGCCTTGTGCAACGATACTGCCAAACCCAAGTCCTGAAATTAGGATGTCAGCCTGGTACTTTGGGAAGTATTTGGGGGCACAAATACTTTATTTTTATATTATGTGATTTTTAAAAAGTGTACTTTTAAAAATACATAAAAAGGTGTACTTTAGGTTACACTTAAAAAATTATATTTGAATAAATACTTGAAACTGCAAGGGGCAATAAGGGAACCATTGGTTTCCTTCATGCTGTTCTGTAGGACTGAATTCTTTACTATTCTGCTTTCCTTGTGTTTACTTTGTGGAAACCTGGGAAAAGATTTCCTCCTGTGTTGCTTAGTTCTATGTCCAGTATTGCTACCTCTGACCTCAGAATAAATTATGTACTAAAATCAGCATTGTGGTAGAAAGAGTAAAGAAAAAACTTTTTAAATGCTATGAGGTTAGAGACTCTTAATCACTTTTTAGAAAAAAAATTTGATTTTGACATTAACGTAACAATGTTTAGAACAATATAGTTCATTTTAATTATGACCATTTCTGGACTGTAAAGATGATCTTAAACTCTTGTAAAAACAGCACAGTTAATTACAGAAGCTAAATTTTGTAACAGCTAATCACTGGAGTTAAATTTTATAAAAAATGGAATTCAGGAAAACAACAAAAAAGAACAGTGGAGACAGGCATTCCAATCTGTCATAATCCTGTTTTGTGTGTTTTTAATTGAAGGTAGAGTTAAGGGTATTTCACACTAAGCATGTTTGGCCTTGGCTATTGAGATAATACTGGGAAGAGTTTATGACTGGATAGCTGTGGGAGGTTTTTGTATACTCACCAGCTGTTGAAAATGAACAGATAGATAAGCTATCACTAACTGATTTAGGTGCATTGTGGGCAGGCATCAAGACTGAAGGTGGATTGTCACAATCTCAATCACCTGGGCAGACAGGATTTCTCAGCTATGGCACGAGCTTTGGGACCCCTCAACCTGGACAGGCACCGTACAGCTACCAGATGCAAGGTCTGTATACATACTGACATTGCTCCTTTCATTAACCCTACAGGATAATTAGATTCTAAAGTGGACCCTGATATTCTGTATAACTTGTGGATGATGCTAGGTGTACTGGGCTTGGAGGCAAGATGCCTGGTTCTCCTCTGGCTCTTTACACACCTATTCTCCGAGCCTTAATTTCCTTATTTTTAACATCCAGGGGTTAGACAGGATGATCACTAACATTCTTTTTCAAAAAGCTCTAATATTTTTTGTGACATTGAAGTTTTCTGCCTTTGCTTCTATCAGTGAAAAAAGGAATGGAAAAAAGCGCAAGTCAATGATGTAACATCCTAATGTGGACTATCCTAAAAACTCTGGCACTTGTGGCCTTTCAGCTTTTTGCAAGGGGCTGTTTTCCTCATTATCACATTTCTGGAAATGGAACTGTGATAAGTGTTGACTAAATGATCTGTCAAAGACCAGGAGATCAAATTGACAGCCATATTCAATGCATCTTCAAGATATTGCTTCCAAGGACCCATTCCAGGGTTCTGATTTTGAAACTGTAGACAAAACATAATGTTAAGTGCATGTCATGTCATAAGAATGACAGCTGAAAGTTTACATTGTCACACTGTTTCAAGAGTAGGCATTACTGTAATTGGCAGATTATTGTCATGCAAATGTGTCTGTAAAGTACTTGAAATTTGTTCTTGCATAATTTAAATATTCTCTTTATATATATATATTTTACTACTAATTAGTTCAGTAAATCATATCCCTTCAGTAGTGCCAAACTATAGTCAAATTGCTTCCCAGGTGACACAGTGGTGAAGAATCTGTCTGCCAGTGCAGGAGACACGAGTTCAGTCCCTGGGTCAGGAAGAGTCCCTGGAGAAGAAAATAGCAACTTACTCCAGGATTTTTGCCTGGGAAATCCCATGGACAGAGGAGACTAGTGGGCTACAGGCCATGAGGTCGCAAAGAGTCAGACATGACTGAGTGATTGAGCACATCTATAGTAGAATTAAATATTTATGTTTTAAAATTTTATTTGCTTTTCTTTATTGAAGTGTAGTTATATAATATTATATAAATTATAGGTGTGCAACATCATGATTAACCTTTTTAAAGGTTGTATTTCATCTATAGTTGCTACAAAATGCTGGCTATAGTCCCTGTGTTGTACATGTACTCTGTATACATACTTGTGCATGTGTGTGTGCTAAGTTGCTGCAGTTGAGTCCAACTCTGTGTGACAGGTGACACAGTGGTGAAGAATCTGTCTGCCAGTGCAGGAGACACGAGTTCAGTCCCTGGGTCAGGAAGAGTCCCTGGAGAAGAAAATAGCAACTTACTCCAGGATTTTTGCCTGGGAAATCCCATGGACAGAGGAGACTAGTGGGCTACAGGCCATGGGGTCACAAAGAGTCAGATATGACTGAGTGATTGAACACATATATAGTAGAATTAAATATTTATGTTTTAAAATTTTATTTGCTTTTCTTTATTGAAGTGTAGTTATATAATATTATATAAATTATAGGTGTGCAACATCATGATTAACCTTTTTAAAGGTTGTATTTCATCTATAGTTGCTACAAAATGCTGGCTATAGTCCCTGTGTTGTACATGTACTCTGTATACATACTTGTGCATGTGTGTGTGCTAAGTTGCTGCAGTTGAGTCCAACTCTGTGTGACGCTATGGACTGTGGTCTGCAAGGCTTTTTTCACTTGTCATAATGCCCTTCAAGTCCATCCATGTTGCTACAAGTGGCAAAATTTCATTCCTTTTTTTAAAAATGTTTTTAAAATTAAAAAAATTTTTAATTTTTAAACATTTTTAAAAATCTTTTTAAAATTTCATTCCTTTTTATGGCTGAGTAGTATTTCACTATTTGTGTGTGTACATGTACATACACATCACATCTTTATCCATTCATATGTTTGAAGACACTTAGCAACCTGCTCTTTTTAATAACAAATATAAACATCTTTTCATATCAACACATTCTATAGCATTTTAATGGCTGCATGGTTTCACAGATATATCTTATCTAATCCAGTATTAGACATCTAGAGTGATTCTACGAATGTCTCATGTGCATCCTTAATTATTCCCTTTGAGTAAATTTAAGTGTGGCTAGGTAAACTGTTTTAAACACTTTTAGGGATTTGTAATGTTTTTACACAAGGAAGGGCTGTGAATTAGAGTGAACACATTAAATATTTAACTTTTAAAAATTTGTCATTTTGGAAGGTCTGAGATTTTATTGTTATTTTCATGTGCATTTTTACAAAATTGAGCTGATAAACCACTTTTTATTTTCTATCATGGTGATGTTCATCTTTTCTTATTATTTCTTATATTTACATTTCTTAAACTTTGGTAATGTTTTATAGATATTTTTCTATAAAATATTTTTATATTTTATAATGGTTTCTATAAAACAAATTTCTATATTTTACAATGTTTTCTATAAAACATTATGTATAATGTTTTATAGATACATTTCCAGTTTATCATTTTAAAGAGCTTTTTACCCTTCATGGGGAAGCTAAAATTTTATGGGACCAGATCCATTAATCCTTTCATATTTGTTTTGCCTTTGGTATAAAAAGGGCTGAATTATAAAGTTTTGAAATACTTGATGGCTACAAAGTTTAAAACTATCTTACAATGGATGATGTTTATTGTTAGAAGGATACTACTTTTGTGCCTGATTCCAAAACTTGAAAGCTGCCTTGGAAAAGAACTATGGTTATGTACATGCTAAACATCAGTTGGGTAAAGGGGTAAAAAGAACAGAAAGTGATGAGACTTCACTGAAGAACTGAACCATCTTAGGCTTTACTAGTGAAATGATTCATAAGGTGAGCAAAGTCTGTAAGGTTCATTTGTGTGAAGTAGTGAGAAAGGAGACAGATACATGAACTATGCAATTGCGGAGTCTTGGGAGAGTTAGGGGGAAAAAGTTGGGTGCCGCGATGGGTCCCATTCTGCCCTGGGCATCCAGGTCTCTTTAAGGAGAAGTGGATCCTAAGAGTCCAAATGAAATAGGTGAAGTGCCCTCCAGAGAAGAGAGATAGCTACATGTGTGATTCCTGGGCTTGAGCCCACGTCAGCCAGCCCCTTGGCTATCATCCACAATGCATTGAGTACAGAAACTGCGAATAAGTGTTTAGAAATGTTTATGGTCTGTCATAGTAAACCTTATTATGCTGGTGAAATGAAACGCTAGCATTAAGAGATCAGACATGTACTCTTTGTCTTTTCTTTTTTCACCTCATTATTTTAGTCATACATAACTATTATATTTTGCTAAATCGTCAGTCTGAGAAGGATTAGAAGTAAAAACAGGGTTGTATCTTGGAGAATTCAAGAAAGATGGCACTTGAGAGTTCTTTTTTAAGGTATTTATAATCTTTTGCTTTTTAGTTTTGCATATGTCCTGATATTGGAGATACAACTCATTTTTCATTTATTCAAGTTTATTTCAATAACTGTATTATCAAGTGGCCATATTATAGAAATTCAAGATCTTTTAAAATTAGAGGATAATTATTTTACAATATTGTGATGGTTTCTGCCATACATCAACATGAATTAGCCATAGGTATGTATATATTTATGTCCCCTCCCTCCTTTCCTCTCAGATCAAAAGCTTATGTGGCAGAAAATTCCTGCAAGAACTAGCTAGCTATCAGATGTATGTATAGCTTTAGAGTATAGAGAAGAATGGAAATGAAGAAGAAAAGAAAGTTAATTTGGAGGAGGAAAAGAGTCTTCATTTTAAAGCAGAAATAAGGACATTTGTAGAACCAAATATAATAAATGTAGCATTGCGCTCTAGTCATAGATTTCATTGCATCTGGGATATTGCATTAAAACTTTTTGTTTTTAGGCATACCCTGGTTGAATGGTCTTTCCAGTGGGATTTTAGAACCCATTTTCACTAAAATTTTATTTCATATGAATGTTTGTATAATGGCACTTCATCCATTTTTAGAGTAATCTAAAGATATGATTTTCACACATCAAGCCAGAGAATACCATGCTGTTAACTTGAAACTTGCCAAAATGATGATGGATAATGATACATGATATTCTGTAGGCTACTTATAGTCACATTTGGATAAATAATTAAACTCTGATTAGTATGAATTTCTTAAACATATTAAGTGCATTATAAAAAAAGTGAAATGAAGTAATATTATATATCCAGTCATGGGAGTCTGTTGACCTTTGTCTTTTCAATACTGCTTTTCAATATAAAACTTTCTAAAGTGTCTAAAATTATTTTTAAAATTCTCCAAATTCTATTATCCTTAATGGATAACAGTGATTTTTGTTCATATCATTCTTACAGCTGTTAAAAATTCTTGGAATCCTGGATGACAGTATACATATTTTAGTGATTTGGGAATATTGATATTTTACCTAGCTTTACCTCCAAGATCTTTTGACCTTTAAAATATAAAATATGATGAATTATTCAGAGATTTAGTTGCTAAGATTCCATATTAGTATTTCACAATATTAGAAGAAATACTTTAGTAACCAAGATGACTTGAACTAACTCAGTGGTGGCATATATGCTTTAGGGTGTTGTGCTGATTAGCTTCAGGAGAATTTATGATGATCACCTCTTTGGTTCTGTCAGATTTAGAAGGTTGGACTAAAGATATAATCTTGCTTTCTGGCAGACATTGTAGGTACTGGAGTCAAGCTGCCTATTGAACAGCCTGCCCTTGCTATTGGTGGGACTTCAGCGTGTGGCTCAACTTCATGACTCCATTTTTGGAGTCTCTTGAATATTGTCTGTTCCCACAGTAGTGGGCTTCCCAGGTGGGAATAGTGATAAAGAATCTGCCTGCCAATTCAGGAGATGCAGGTTCAGCCCTAGGGTCAGGAAAATACCCTGGAGGAGGAAATGGAAACTCACTGCAGTATTCTTGCCTGGAGAATCCCATGGAGGAACCTGGCAGGATTGCAGAGTTGGACACGACTAAGCAACTGAG